CAAAAACGCACTAGGAAGATAGAGAATTTTGCATAATATTACAAATTTTGCATCAGTGTTACAAATATTAACAGAGTAACAGCTTTGACACCACCATGAACATTATTCTTCCTTCTTTACTTATGTCTAGTTATTCTAAATTGTTGTCTTCTTTATCTCTTTTGAGCATCTCCCAGAAGTACTCAGGCAAAGAAGAACATGAAGCCAAAATTCCAAGTAACCTAAAACCCCACACCCTGATGAAACATTAGATCTGTAATCCTATTCGCATTTACTTAAAAGTGAATTTTATTGGAAAAAGAACCAGGGCTCACCTCTGAGATTTATTTCACCCTGGTGCAATATGAATGTTCAACAACTCTTAAGACATTTTGGAAGGCTTGCTCATGCAATAAAAGTGCAGCTGTTACTTAGTTAAAAGTGGGATAGGGCAGGGTGGAAATGTAAAAGTTATTTCATGCAGTTATTATAGATTATTCCACTATATCACTACAGTATGGCTTTTGAAATTTTAGTTGTTTGGAAACTAGCTTTTTTCTTAGCAAATCCGAGGTTCATGTCAGAGAGCTATTTTCCCCTTCCCCATCATAGCTACTTGAAGTTTATTTCTAGTATAAACTTCCCCATCATAGCTACTTGAAGTTTATTTCTAGTATAATTAATCTTTGTGTTTGCAAATTAAAGCTCCTTGATTTCTTCTTCAAAAACTCAGTAAATACTCACTTAATTTAAAAAAATAGCGTATAAATTTGTGGGATTAACTTTGATTCAATTGTTAAAAGACATTCCATTTATAACTTTCATGTATAACTTTCTTTCCTACCTTCAATTTCATATCCTATGATATAAATCCAAAGAAAACAGAACCATCATGATAAAACATGTCAATTTTAGCAAAAATTATATTTGATAACTGTGCAAATGCACAGTTGCATTAAAAGGCAAATCTGATATTTCTGATGTAAAAAAAATCATTTAACTTTTCTACAAAAAGTGGTTTACTGTAGTCCACCTGTGATTGAGTTAGAACTGATGTTATAATTTTTTTCCCCCACTTTTCATGGCTCTTGCAGCAAAGTGGTCTGGATTAAATTCTTTCTTGGCACGGCTCCAAGAACTCCCTAGGCTTGCAATTCAGAATCATTTGACTCTGCATTTATTTCCCCCTGCACCAAGTGATCACAACAATCTCATTTGCTGAGGCAATAGACTCGTTTTTCTATGCCCTGGGTTGTCAAAAAGAGATTTCCTAACAGTTTGGATTAGAATGCAGATACTCATCTGTGGTTTAGCTAACAAAAGGAACTGTGCAGAGATCCTATAACCTTTTGTGAAAACACATACTCAGTTTCAGTGCTACTCTGTCTTTCACTTTATTGAGATGCCCCCTAAAATGAGAAGTATTTCTGGAAAAATGTTTTGCACAACTTATAATATTTGGAATTCACATAGTGATTAGATATTTGGGGGGGAAATTGGAGAAGCCCATCTAGACTCCTGTTTCCCTCAGATGGTACATCTCAAGAGAACTGAGTCCTCCTTTCAGTCTAAACATACTTTTGCTTCTTATTTGCTCCCCATCAGTCAAGGATCACATAAGAAAGACATTTATGTTTTAGATTAAGAAATTACATGATGTGAAATATCTAATGACTTGAATCAGTGCATCTGACCTTGACCCAGACATCATCAGTTTGTGCCATGTCATCCATTCAGATCCTAAGGAATGTGACACCAACCAACTGCTCTTCTTGTCTCTGTGAAAAGTAGGCAATGATGGAAAGAAAAGCTATCTTCCTGTAGTTGCCCATGCGAAAGGGAACTGGATGAGATAGCAGCTGCCTGCATCTATCATCTATCTATCCATCCATCCATCCATCTATCTATCTATCTATCTATCTATCTATCTATCTATCTATCTATCTATCTATCTATCTTTCTCTCTCTCACACACACAGAGAGGGGGGGGGGGAGAGAGAGAGAGACAGAGACAGAGAGACAGAGAGAGCAAATAAAGTTTACCTTAGTGAATACAGTATATACATAGAGTATATAATCAAGACCTGGAAGTCAAAATAATTTCTGCCCACTCTAGATGGCCTAATCCTAACTGCATCATAAGAGGGTAAAAGTAGCCTGAATCAACTGCTTATGGAAGGCACAGCTGATCCCTTCTCTCTTCTGTTCTATCCTCAATAGTGTTTCTCATTCTGTGCCTATAGACTCAGGCATTCTCTGTGGCAGATGGAACCACCTGAAGGAAGCTCCTATGATGACTTTTCTATCAGGCCATTAAAGGGCAATAATACAGAGAAAACTGAAAATTTCCACACTTCTGTCCTGTCTAAAGTTTGAAGGAAGGCAATTGATTCTGCTTTGGTCATCTCTAAATGGAATAGCAGAGACGATGATTGTATGTCTTAGCCACTCGCCTTTTAGGAGCTCGGTTGCCCAACAGATGTGTGAAAACCCCCAAATTCATTTTGAAAGTTATAGTTCAAGCACATCTGGAGAACAGCTTTTCTTTTTATCCATTTTTGATGGCCTGAGTCTAATAATGCCACACAGAGGAAGAAAAAGCCATTATACTAAGTAAATAAATAAATAAATACTGCCTCTACTTTGGGGTCAAGGTAAAGGGCAAGAGAAGAATATCTAGCAAAAATTATAGTGTGTCTTTGAAAAAAAACAATGAGATCAGAATGCCTATTGCCTAGGGTTCAGTAAAACCTAAGCTAAAAGGCACCCAAAAAGAGTAGGGACAGGTTTATCTGATCTTTAATCTTCACTCCCCAACAATTCTGTTTCTAGCAAGCTTGGTGAAGGAACAGGAAGTTGGTGAAGATAAGATGTTGCTGAGGGACCGCATATGCGTTTTCACATCCATATACCCACATATAGTCAACACATGCAGCCTTTGGGCCAAAGATTATCTTTGGTCTAGGGCAGGGGTAGGCAAACTTGGTTCTTTTATGCCTCGTAGACTTACTCCCAGAATTCCTGAGCCAGTATGGCTGGCTCAGGAATTCTGGGAGTGAAGCCCACGAGTCATAAAAGAGCCAAAGTTGTCTACCCTTGGTCTAGGGAGACTAATACAGTTCATAGAACAAGCTATATAACTCTATTTCATTATCAAAATTATATTTTGATTATATTAAAGGATATTTAAGATTTTCTTTATGAATGAAACAAAACATAGTATAAATATAAATAAGAAAACCTGATGTGCCAGTGTATAAAATAAAGTTTAAATAGATGGTGTTTTTAAAGAGGAGTGTTGTCCAAGGTATATCTGTAATTTAAGTAATTATGTCATCTGAAAGCAAGTGGATTTTGTTAATGATTTAATTTTCAGATTCATAAATTAGCTAGAAGTGGGGCACTGAATAAATAAATAAAAGTTTTTCTCAAATATTAAAGGACATTAACTTCAGGTATGTAAAAATATGTGTAACACATGGATTTCTACTACACAAAAAGAATTATATGCTGTGCAAAATTAATATTAAATATTCAACTGACCCAAGTTACTGTTTTGTAACCCAAGATACCTCATCCAACATTGCCATCATAATTTAGCCATTTCCTGCCCCGCCATTTGGTGAGCTCAAGTGGAAAAAGAAATAGTTGAATAGACTGTGAAACACTAAGACTAAGGAAACTATCCATTCTTTCAAACACAGAGAAAACCCCATCCCTCCTTATATATGGCTCCACCCACAATATGTTGTGATGCTTGCCCTCTGAAGGAGCAGCCTGTGGCACTTCAGACCAATCCAACCCTTCAACCCTGTAGACAGCCTGAAAATAAATAAGTTTTTACCCCATTTTCAGATCAATTGCTGTTAGCGTACCTTTTTGACGAGTAATATTGCCTGGGCTATAATATGTTGTTTCCTCTGTAAAGCTCTATTTTTATATTTATTTTCTCTTTTTTATGTATTGTATTGATTTTTAACTGTACATTTCCCAAACTCTTTGCTGAGTTGGGAAGCCTCACAAATCTAAATCAATTATAAATATGACACAGTCTCCCCCAACACCGAGATCATTAGCAAATATGCATGGCTTGTGTGTGCAAACATATATGAATGCATAAACTCACAATAAGCTAGGCATTTAACTGGCAAAAAGTTACCTATTCCTGCCTTCAGTTTGACTTAGAAATCAGTACAGATGCCACTGACAGCTGTACCAGCCTGTCATTCCATCCACAGCCCTAACATTCACCTTTCCCCACCTATCTCCATGGATTTTTTTTTTTTACAGGAAAGGAATAAAGAAAAACGAAATTCAGGTGCTGTAACTTCATAACCCATTCCGTTTCCTTCGAAAATCCAGTCTGTACTTTATTAGTCATTAGCTCTTTGGTCCGCATTGATTGCAACCGACTGATACTCTAGCTTCTATCTTTCCTATGCATGTTCTTGCCTTTTTAATGAGCTCCTTTCCAGTTTGCAAAGAAAGGAGAATGGTTCGGCTGAGTCCAATTCCCGCTTTGGATTGCGACTGAGCAGACGGCTTGTCCTTTAGCGAGCAATTAATTATACTGCCTTGCACACCTGCGCTCGCCGGTCGGTCAGTATGCTCTACCCTAGGTCCCTTAGCCCCGGGAACCCAAACAATGCCAGAAGTTAAGGCTTTCCAGGGTGTTATCACGATCCCTCCTCCCCCTCCCCCACACACTGCCTTGTATATTAACCTTGGAACTACTGCACTCAACGCAAGCAGTTGCACAAAAGGTGTATTTTGATAAAGGGAGACTTTCCATTCAGTGCTGCCGCTGCCTGCGCCGTATAAACTCGTCGTTTTCCCCTCCTGTCCCCTAGGAGCCTTAATTTAATGTCTCCGAGACCTACCAAAGGGCTGGCCGGATTGATGTTCTGCTCTACCCTCTCTATTCAGATATTCGCAAGGAGGGTAGAGTACAGGAGTGGTGTGTGTTTAAATGGGGGAAGAGAGTCTTTTGACGATTCTGGCGTAAGGGAAATCGTACTGACCAGTTGTGGGAACATCAGGAACCAGCTTGATGGGACCGATCTGCCGCATCTGAAACGCCGTCCTTACTTCGTGGCAGCTGGGATTCTTGCCTCCCGAGACCCCGCTGCAGAGTCCGGCGGCCGCTGTCGCTAGCAGTAAGAGCTCGAAGCGTCGCCAACAGAAGAAGACTCCACGACTGTTGTCACCGGCCATTTCCACATTCCCCACAAGGGACACAGATAAACCAGGGACGCCCGACACACGTCCCAAGAAATAAATCAACACCCACACACGCACGAAATGAGGGAACAGGAGAGAGGGAAAGAGGTGGCAGCAAGCGTTCAAGTTGAGAAGAAACTTGCCCTGGATAAACTTGCGAGCAGTGGGCGGGGAATTGGAAAAAAAAAAAAAAAAAAAAGCCCGCGGAGGTCCTACACCGAATCTCTCGAAGTCCTGATCCTGGGAACAGCAACGTTCCAAGCGTGGAACCCTGCAACTTTTAGAACCTTCGCTTTTCCCGCGAGGGTTCGAACAGTCGGATAACTAAAAGAGCGTCAGCTGGGGAGACGCCAATGTTCGAAATGTGACTTTTCCTCCTCCTCCTCCTCCTCCCTGCTCTGCCTCCAATGAACACGCCCGGCGGGAGGTGGTGGTGGTGGTCCTGCAGCCCACTCCTCTTTACTGTAAGCGTAGTTGCTGTAAACGGAGCCGTCGTTCTATTTACTAGCTTGCACTATACGTTACACTTTTTCCAATAAGGACGTTTCTTTTAAAAATGCATTTGCAGAGGAGAACCCTTGCAACCTCTTTATTGCAATATACTCCAATACTTCACCTGGGAATATTTTTCCAAAATTCGCTTCCCTTTTGAAAAAAAACTTATAAATTTTCATCAAATGAAATGTGGACTGGTAAACAAATAAAATACAGAACTATTTCTCTGTTCTGGCCTACTTCCAGTACATTGTGGATCATCTTCAAGGAGTGTACATTGAGTATTTCTCAATTCCACATTGATAGCGTAAGCCCATCTATATAAAGACTGCTGCTCCTTTGAGTAAAGAGCAGGGTGGCTAAATGTAAGCAGGACAAGGTAGAAAGCAGAACTATGCCTAACAATGGACAGAACTACAGAAAACTGAAGACATACAGATGCTAACAAAGATGTGTAAGGATGGTGTGGGTGCAAAAAGTTATCACCTCACAGAAAAACAGCTGCAGTGTCTTGGCAGAACTCCCTGAAATTTTTAAAGACTTTCCTTCAGATATGTAATAAAAATCTTGTTCAGCAATACTTGTTCTCAAGCCTGAAACAAAATAATTAGCTTAAAAGTTTTGTAAGACTGCATTGTGCACACTAATAGCTTTTTCTTTATATAAAGCCTCTGTAATGTGGGAAATTTTACATGTTGACTTTCTGTCAGTTGCCAATTATTTAATACTTGTGAGCCCTGCTGTAGCATGCTTATCAAATTTAATGTATGTGAACCATAAGCAAAGTTTAATTTAAAACAGAATTCCATTTTCTGCAGTTTGGGCAGTTTTCTAACTGCCAAAGTAAGTAACACATGAATAATATCTGCTGCTATTTAATAGTTATGTTGTTAAAGCAGTGCTAATGAAAACTAGTCTGCAAAGCAGACAGGAAGGATCAGACAACCTAAGGAAGAGAGGGGTAACAACTGAGACATAACTAAGATGAAGCTAAGGATGACTCAAAATCACAAATGTCCCTATGGAGATTGTCAGTCATCCAGGCCTCGTTGTCCCAAAGGTGTTTTTTCAGCAGCTGGATTTTGTTTTTCCAGTGAATGTGAAAACACACCTTTGAGATATTCCTGATAAAGATAACTTGGAAATAAATACAGATGTCACCATCCTTTCTTTTACAGCTACCATATTCATACCTTTCCTTATTCTTGAATTAAAGTCCTATCCATTCATCCTGGCATTGACAGAGTTGCTATCCTGAGTGCCAATCCTTGTGTTTCTATGGTTTTTCCAACTTATCATTAAATGACATTGTCCTGTTTGATTTATGTCTATTTGACCTGGCAAAGAGATTGTTTACCCTTTGTTGCCCTCCCTTTTCAGCATCTCACCAATTGATGAGGAAAACATTCAATTCATCAGCAGATTAATTTGACATAGAATCACTCTAGTTAGACAGCCAGAATATGAAATTAATTCCTTGATCCATCCTTTCAACTGTTAATAATATAATTTATGCCATGCATTATTCTGATATTAGAAACTGAAAGATAAAAATAAAGATTCATGGATAGGTGGCTCCAATATGGCAGGGAAGCACTTAATTTAGATGGAGAGTGATTGTCTTCACTTCAATATATATTTGGAAGAGTTGAGTTTATTGATGTGTCTTACTATCAAGCCGCCTTCCATTAAATATGTTAGGTACTATCACCAAATTGAACTAAAGTACCTTTGTGAAGGCATTTATATAAAAGCTCCCTTTAATAGACGAAGTGGGTCACAGAGATCTGGAGACATGGGGAAGGAAGGATGTAAACTCTGTTTTGACTACACCTCCTCATATTTCAGCGAAAACTTATCCATTGCTTGATATGACTACTCAGCTTTCATGTTACAAAACCACAAAATCTATATGAGGCATTTTTTTAATAAGACTACTAAATTATAACAGAATAAGTTTGAAGTTTTCTAGAACTCTTTGTCAGACAGATTGTTGAACAAAACAGGAATATGGAAAAAAGTGATACAGGCAGTAATGTAATTGCTTTTGAAATCTAGAGTTTATTTGTTTGCTTAAAATTTTGTTTTATAAAACAAAAACAAGTTTTGGAACTCAAAAAAAAATTCAAAAAGCATAAAATATTTTCTTTTTGAAGTGCTAAATTTGTGAGTGGTCCAATTTTCCTAAGTTTGAAATGTTGTCCCACTGTAGAAACTTGTTGCTTCATATTGCCTCCAAGCTCCTGAATTCAAAATATCCATTTTTATCCCACCTCTTTAAATCAAGACAATAATTATTCCCGTCAGTTTAGAATGTCTTTCCAAGAAACTTTCACTGCATGACAATTGCTACAAAAACAAAACAAGATTACTTACTTACTTCTTTTCATTTTTATTACTGTCCCCATCAGATGATTCTGGGCAATGAACAGAAAAATCCAAAATAGCAATTTCCACAGTAACATATTCAAGGTAATAAATATAACACAATCAATGAGAGTGAGGAAACCAAATTAATCTCCAGAGCTATACATTCCATAATATATGGGCCACTGCCATGAAGGCATGGTCTCTAGTCCTCAGCCCCTTTGGTGAACTACTTTGGAGACAAATTTCTAATCTTATAAATTGTTTTTATAGAATAAATAATCCTTCATTAATAATACTTAAAATGATTCACAACTATGGATAAAGGTCATTCTAAATGTTGAATGTTCCTCTTCTGCTTTTATTAGAAAAACACAAACTTTAAAAAAATCTTGGTAAATTTACAGCAGCATGAGAGTTCTTGGAAGAGTAAATGCTTCTTCCCTACTTTTGTTCCTTATAATTGCCAAGTTACCACAGTCTAAAAGAGGCTACAAAACTTCAGAGAACTTGATAGCTGCCTTTATTCATTCTAAAATCCCTGAGGAATTACAGTCTAATGGTAGTCAAGCTAAACCAAATATATGTCTATGGAGATTCTCAGTCATCCAGGTTATGATTGTCCCAAAGATGCTTTTTTCAAAAGACAACTGGACTTTTTTGGTTTTGCTTGAAGAAGTTTCATTTCTCATACAAGAAGCTTTTTCAGTTCTGAACTTAAAACAAAGTCCAGTTGTCTTTTGAAAAAGCACCTTTGGGAAAACCAAATGTATATATATTCTAATGCAATATTAAAAGTTCTTACCCATCTCCTTACTAAACATCATTGTAGAATAATCTTAGGAAGCCATTAGTCCCATAATATGGATGATTCAAGTCATCCAGGTATTTTGGCACAAAACATAAAGAATATCCTCTGTTGGACAACTATGAGAGATTAATAAAACAAATAAAAGCAGATTTGGAAAAGTGGGGAAATCTTCAACTATCACTACTAGGAAGAATAGCGATTGTCAAGATGAATATTTTACCAAAGCTGATTTTTTAATTTCAAACAGTTCCTGTTAAACTGAGCAATAAATTTTTTGACGACCTAAATACAATAATATTAAGATTTATATGGCAAAGAAAGAAAGCAAGAATCAAATGTAAACTTTTACAAGACTCTAAAGACAGAGGGGGCTTTGGACTCCCAGACTGGAAACTTTATTATCAAGCAGCTATTTTGCTTTGGCTTAAAGAACGGATTACATTGAGAAATAAACAACTTCTTTACTTAGAGGGACATGACCTCCAACAAGGTTGGCACACCTTCTTATGGTATGAGAAAACTAAAGCACATAAATACTTTCAAAATCACGCCATAAGAAATGTATTGATTTCAGAATGGGACAGAATCAGACACAAAATGTATATGAAAATTCCTGAGTGGCTTTCAACAATGGAAGCATTTGCTTATCCAAACTTGATTAACTATGATAAACTTATAAAGATATAAAGATATCTTGGATAAAGATGGAAAACTTAAAGACAGGCAAGTTCTTCAACAACAAGGTATTGACTTAACATGGTGGCCTTATTTGCAAATCCAAACAAGATATGAAAAAGATATAAAATCAATGGGATTTTATAAAGAGCAGACTCCACTTGACAAAACACTTTTAAAAACAGATGAGAACTTGATTAAGAAACTTTATAAATGTTTGTTAAGATGGAAGATGGAATAAGAACAAGTAAAAGAAACAATGATAGTATGGGCAAAGAATTTTGGACATTCTATAGACTTAGAAGATTGGCAAAAACTTTGGGATAAATACATTAAATTTACTAAAGCAGTAACATATAAAGAAAACTTATATAAGATGTTTTATAGATGGCATATGACACCAGTTCGATTAGTGAAAATGTTTAAAAATGTATCGAATACTTGCTGGAAATGTAAACAAAAATCAGGCACTTACTACCATGCCTGGTGGATATGCCCTAACGCAAAGAAATATTGGCTTAAGATTTATAGATGGCTGGAAAAGATGACGAAAATACAAATAGAATTTAAACCAGAATTGTTTTTGCTAGGAATAGTAGGATCTAACTATGGTAAGAGAATGATTATTTAATACTACATGTATTAACAGCTGCAAGAATAGTATTTGCCCAATTTGGGAAAAATGAAAATCTACCATCGGACCAGACTATAATTTTGAAAATTTGGGACTGTGCAGAAATGGATAGATTAACTTTGGAGATGAAGGAGAAAGAAGATTCAATTTATTTCAAAACTTGGGAAAATTTTTATCGATGGTTAGAAATATGCTAGAATATGATCAGAACTTAAAATTGAATTGAATCTTAAAATTGAATAGAATAAATGATAGACTCTTAATTAAGTGTTATTTCTTAGATTAATAATAGCTTTATCAGTGATTTTAAATATTAATAGTGATGACTAGAATTTGTTGATATGTTATTAAGTATATATATTTATTTAGAGGAATTTTACTTACCTATCTAATTTTAGTTATATGATTATAGTTAACTTTATTTTTATAATTGTTTAGTATTATACAAATTATGTTTATTTAATATTTAGATCCGGACGGTAGCTTGTTTGTTAAACCTTGGTATTATTATGGGGGTTATCCCATTATTGTACCTACCCTTATCCTACCCCAAATTCCTATTCCCACTCCCCTTATACCTGTATTGACCCTATCTTTTCCTTACCTATATAAAACCTAATAAAATATTTATATATAAAAAAATATCCTCTGTCCATAATAAACATAAACTCTTGAACAATCCCAATTCATTTTAGTGGAGCTATGCTGAAAAATATCCTAGTTATTCTGTATCCCATCAGTCAGATTCATCTGTCTATTAGTCTGCCTCTTAAACTTGAAACAGATGCCACCAGTTAATTCCTGGTGAAATAGTATGTGCACATTAAATGGTTTCACCTCTTGGAAACATTCGTTCTAGTTGTCAGCAGATCTCCTGGCAAAATATCAATTTAAAAATAATTGTATGTTTCAAAAAAGAAATCATTTCAACTTACATATTCATTGTCTCAAGTATACTGTATAATCACCAGCTGTAGCACAGGTGTATCAATAGTGGGGTTCTTCTCAGTCATGTGCTACTGTTATTAACTAAATCATCTGATGTTGTCTGTTCTATATTATTAACAACATCAATCAAATATTTGTAACTTGCAAGTACATTATTTATATTTTATGAAGTCTTCATGATTTCATTGATTTTACATTCTTATCATACTGCCAAAGTAAACTCTATTCATTAATATAAATGTATATATTAATGTAATCAGGACTTTTTCCTTTTATTCATTTTATTTTTAAATTTTTATGTTGACTTAAAATTGTTACACATTCTGTTTGTTCATTTTGGTTGTGATCTCTATCTGTCAGCCTGTTTCTAAAGGATGCTAGCTGAAATAGTTCAACTTTTCAAATGGGTGCTGGATAGCCTCATATTGATACTGTTCCTAAATGGAT